ACCTGAAAGAGAAAGGGGGAAATCAATGATGAGACGGATATATGATAATCTTTTTGGTCATGATGAATTTCAAGAGGAACGAGAAGAATTGCTAAATAGGAGAACGCAAAGAGAAGCAGAAGAAGAAGAACAAACAGTACAAACAGAACAAATGGAGGAAGAAGAAGGAGATGATTTACCAATGAATGTTAAAAAGTCGTATGAGCCTTCGTCATCATCATCAAACTCATCAAGTAGAAGTGTATTATTACCTATTGAAGAAGGAGCATTAAGTGAACATATACAATCTTCAGCACCTATATCAGTTCAAAGTTCCGTTCGTAGTGACAGGACTATTGAATATATTGAAGAAAGCCCAATAGTAAGTGTTATAAGTTCAAGGCGTTCACAGGAAACAATAGAATATATAAGAAGCAGGAGCAGTTCTAATAAAAGCAGAACATCAAGTAGTTAATAAAACTGTTTTGAATATAATGACATATTTCTTTAAGGCACTTTAATTAAAATTAAAGTGACTTAAAGAAATATTCATATTTTTAAATAAGATAATGACTAACTATTTAGTTACAGAAGATGGACGAGTGTCAAGGATTAATGACGATTTATTTGACATGATGTGGAGGGCGTTAGATGATGATAAATTAGTATTAACTGATACTGAAAGTATAACCAGTGATGATGTTAGGAAGGCGAAGAAGAAGGAACACAACAACGTTCATAATAAGAAGAATAAAGAAAGTGGTTACTTTAGTAGATACTTTAAAGAAAATGATAAATTTTATGTTTGTGAACGATGTGGTTGTTCAATTAGAAGCATAACTAATAAGTCAAGACATTTTAAAACTGATAAGTGTAAACGTTTAGCTGAAGAGAGAAGACAGGAAGAGTTAGGTAATAAAATCATTGACAAGGTTCTAGGGATTACAGCATGAGTAATATTAATTAATTTCTAGTTAATATTAATCATGAGTAAAGAAGAGGTGTTAAATAAACTCTATTATGATTTAGAAACAGGTTTCGGTAGTGCCAAGAGTTTATATGATGACGCAAGAAAAGAGGGTTTGGCAGGAGGTGAAAGACTGGGTTAAGAAGCAATCAATAAACCAAAGAAGAGGATACAAGAACTATAATAGTTATTCTCCACCTTATGCTCGCGCTGTGTTTTCTGCTGATATAATGGATATGATTAGTTTGATGAAAGACACTGATACTTTCAAGGAAGATTATAAAAGATACGCTTTAGTTTGTATTGATAACTTTAGCAAGAAGGCACATGTTGTAGCAATGGAAAATAGAGACGGTGAAACAGTGTATGATGCATTTGTGGAATGTTTTAAAGTATTAGGTTACCCAGAGAGTATTTATAGTGATGATGATGGAGCATTCAAATATAAGAAATTTCAGGATTTTTTGAAAGGGGAAGGGATAGAGCATATTGTAACTTTGACACATGCTAACGTGGCAGAGAGATTTATTAGAACTATTAAGAAGATGATAGGCGACAGAGCACTTGTGACTAAAGGAGCATGGACAATATTATTAAAACCTGCTTTGGACAAGTATAATAAAACGATGGTGCATTCAACAACTGAAATGACCCCGAATGAAGCACATAAAGATGACAACCATGTAACAGTAAAAGCAAATTCAGTATTGAAGGAGAAGTAGATGAGAAAATACCCACAAGTTAAAGAAGGTGACAAGGTTAAAATCTATGTTAAGGGTAAAGGTAATTTTACTAGCAGGAAGCAGACAAGGAGCCAATGGAGCGACAGGTCATATGAGGTCAAGGAGGTAGGACGAGATGGATTATTAAATAAATATTATATATTGGATGGTTTGAGTAAAAAATATAACCGCCATGAAATTTTATTAATTAATGAATAAATACTTAAAAACACTTAAAGAAAAGAGAGCTTAATAATATAGAAGATGGAAACATTTAATTTTAATTTTCAATGTAAATATTGTATGAATTATAAAAGAAGAAGGCAGGAAATTTTCAATGAAGTATTTGATGAAAACATTACTAATAATATTTTATCTTTTACAACTTGTATATTCTGTCATAACATGTATGAGTATGAAAAAGAATATAAAGGTTATATGTCAATAAACTGTTATGAAAGAATAGAACATAGACAAGTTCATTGTATACTAAAACATTTTGACAATGGATACAATAAGCTAACAAATTTGAAAGATAAGAAGAATTATTTGAAAAATATTATAGATAAATCAAAAACTAATTTAAAACCATTGTTAAAAAAGTTCGTGAATGAGACAAGGAACATAAAAATGATTGATGAATATAAAATGTTTTGGTTGTTGGATTATAATATTTATTATTTACATGATAAATGGGATTTTTACGGAGAGACTTACAACTATAGAAATAAAATTGAAGAACCAATATATTTTATCATGATTGCGATTTTGTTCATATGTTGTCAGTCACAAGTAGGTCTCTACAAAAACTATTTTAATTTTAAGGGTATATATGATTATTTAAGTGATATATTTGAAGAAGAAGACTAACATAATATTAATATATGTAAATATTAATACGATGGTCATTTTAACTTAAAAACACTTAAAGACAAAATGATTTAATACATTAGTAATGAGAACAGTATACGAGAAATTATATGAAAAGTACAGTTTTAAACTTGATTGTTTTAGATGTGATTATGAAGACTTTCTTTCTCAGATAGGTGAAGCCGATAGAATAGTCAATAAGTATAAGGACATTCTAGATGAAGAAGATTTAGGAACAATTAATGAGAAAAAGCAATCATGTTACAAAGAAAAAGACGAACATCACAAGTTGATAAAGCGTTATGAGGAGTTGATGGATTTCTTGAAAGTCGCACTAGGGAAAGATGATGATAGTAATGATGAGAAAAATGAAGACAATGAAGAAGGTAAGTCCATTCATTGTAAGAAAGAAGAGGAACACAATTCGGTGTGCCATTAAACTCATCATATACATATTTGACCAGATGAAACTAAAATATTAATGTTACTAAATGTTAATATATTGGTTTTAACTTAAAAACACTTAAAGGCAAAAAGCCTTAATATATTAAGTGAAATAATGAGTGATACTGAAAGCGTTGTAACAATAGATTATAATATTGATAAAGAAATTGAGTATGGTCGGAAATTAATAAATGATGACATGAAGAACTGTAAGAACTGTAAATTAATACATTACCAGCTTAAGAATAATTTTAATGTATTTTCAGAGGGTGTAAATGAGAATATCTTTTCATTTATTGGTTGTAGTAATTGTGTTGATAGAATGAAATATTTAGAGTATGACGTAGCTATTCTTATATATGGATTAGTTGGGAATAATGAATATCCTGAACATAGAGATATAATATTAAATGTGTTGAGAGGTTATAATACTAATTTGTGTATTGTAACTATTTATTGTAATGCTTATAAAGATGAAGTCCAAATGTATCCACACGATTTCTATTCTAAATTCAGTGAGTTATATGATGAAGAAATACATGACAAATTTAAAGATGTATACAATCATTATTTTAATGAGGACAAGGTGAAAGAGTTGAGAAAGTTATTAATTAAGACATATAAAACTAAATACAAAGATAATCATGAAGAAATAGAGCTTAAATATTTCTTGTATCATTATTTAAGAATATTTTCAATGATTATTACCTATCTAAATAAAAGACAGGTTTTTCATGATTTAATGGAATGGTTAAAATTTAATATTATGTAGTAATCATGATATTAATATAATAATAATTATGTTAATACGATGATTGTGAGGCTGAAAACGGAACAACCCCGTAAACCAAAACGTGAGGTAAAGGAAGAGTAGAGGGAGGAGAAACGAATGAGGGGGCGATACATCTTTTTGAGAGTTGGGGTCTGGGATAAAACGAGTAAGGGGCGACAGTAGAGAGAGGAGAGAGGAAAAACGAAGGAGGGGGTGATGATGAGAAAACGAATGAGAGGGACAGGTGAGAAATCTTGACCCCAACAATGGGAAATAGGAAATGTGAGAGGTGGAACAGTAGAGGAAAAGATAGGATACAATGATGAAAAACAACAAACGAAGAAGACGCCCAACCCAAAACGTAGAGAACCCTAGAACCTACCTTTCTATAATTTTTTCCCCCGCCCCACCCCCCCCCCCCCCAGCACCCCCCCCCCCCCCCCCAGACAAACTCCAAGGCTTAGCACGAAGCTGGAGGTGGCCGTGGCTCTCGCAGGCGGTGAGGGTTTCAGGGTTTGAGGGTAGTATAAGGGGGAACATCCCAAGTTTAAGGGTTTTGGGTTTAAGAGTTTAAGGGTTTGAGGGGTTGAGGGTTTGAGGGTTTGAGGATTTGAGGGTTTAAGGGTCAAAGGGTCAAAGGGTTCAAAGGTTTAGGGGTTGAGGGGTTCAAGGGTTTAAGGGGCTTGAGGGTTTAAGGGCTAAAGGGTTTAAGGGTTCAAGGGTTTTAAGGATTTTGAGGGCTTAAGGGCTTGCAAGAGGTTCAGGTTGAGGTTGTTGCTTGAAGGCATCGACTTTATACCCGAACCCTATAAACCTTCAACCCTCCACAACCCTAAGCCCTAAGACCCTACACCAAAGTCTGGGGGGGGGGGGGGGGGGTGTATGGTGCACACCTTGAGGTTCAGATTCCAGGGCTTAGCGTGGAAGTCTGAGGGCTTCCAGTGATTTGACGGCGGACGTTAGAGGTTAGGGCTGTGTGTTCCCTCAACCCCACAACTCGAGAGATTCACATCAAGTTTGTAATCTGAACCCTAAACCCTAAACCCTAAACCCCAAACCCTAAACCCTAAACCCTAAACCCTAAACCCTAAACCCTAAACCCTAAACCCTAAACTAAACCCTAAACCCTAAACCCTAAACCCTAAACCCTAACCCCTAAACCCTAAACCCTAAACCCTAAACCCTAAACCCTAAACCCTAAACTGCAGACTCTGGGAGGGATGTCTGGGCAAGCAGCTTCGATAACATGGGCAGTGCCTCGAAGGGCCACGCGCGAGTTCCATGCCTGGCCGCGGCATCATACATGGCCCTGAGCCGCATGGCCTGGGGTTCTTCCTCCATTCTGAATTGGTCATCAGAGACGCGGTGGGCGAAGTCACGCTCGGTTTAGGGTTTAGGGTTTCGGGTTTAGGGTTTAGGGTATAGGGTATGGGGTTTAGGGTTCAGGGTTTCGGGTTTAGGGTTTAGGGTTTAGGGTTTTGGCAATGTCGAACCCCCCCCCCCCCCCCTGCGTGCACGCAGCGGAGAGGCAGAACATGCCGCTCTGGGCAGGCAGATTTGCCCTAAGCAAGCATACCCCGAAAACCCTAAACCCTAAACCCTAAACCCTAAACCCTAGACCCTAGACCCTAGACCCTAGACCCTAAACCCTAAACCCTAAACCCTAAACCCTAAACCCTAAACCCTAAACCCTACAGTAAACCCTAAACCCTAAACCGGCAGACTCTGGGATGGATGGCTGGGCCAGAGCCGCGGATAACACAGCTCCCTAGCCCTAAGGCCCTAAACCCTAAACCCTAAACCCTAAACCCTAAACCCCAAACCCCAAACCCCAAACCCTAAACCCTAAACCCTAAACCCTAAGGCCGAAGCCTTAAAAGCCCTACGCCCCACGCTGCAAATTCGTATGGCCCTAAGCTCTGACTGAGCCCTGAACCCTAACTTATCGCAAAGGGTCGGCCTCGCGTGCCTATGCCACCAGTAGTTGCTTGAAGTACACCCTAAGCCCTAAGCCCTCAGTCCTCAAAATTATCCCGAGGGGTGGTTCCTTTTTTGTTCATTAAGGACTCCTCTTCAAAGGGACAACCTCTTCTTTGTTTGCAGGCCCACAATGCTTAGAAGTCAAAGGGGCTTGCTTGCCTGTCCTTCGACGGCTGTGACTCGATTGAGCTTCTTTCCTGACTGCTGGGCTGGAGTTGCTATCGGCTTGAAGGGAGCTCTTTGTATGTAAGATGATCTCCAGCTGGAGGTCCACCTAAAACCTAAACTCTAAACCCTAAACCCTAGAGCTAAGGGCTCAGTTAGGTGTAAGGTTTAGGGTTCAGGGTTGGAGCCAGAGTGGGCCGGCCCCCTTCCTTTTGGCTCCGGCCCTTACCCCTGTTGTTCCTAGGCTATTCTGGGATCTAGAGAGCTTCTGGGCGGAAGTTTGGGGACAGTGCTAGCTCTAAAGCCTAAACTTCAACCTTTAACCCGAAACCCTGAACCCTCAAACTCCCCAAACACCCTAAACACCCTAATCGCCACAGACACCGTAAATTCTAAACCAAACTAAACCCAAAACCAAAACCCTAAACCTTAAACCCTAAACCCTAAGCCCTAAACCCTAAACCGTGAACCCTATACCCCAAACCCTAAACCCTAAACCCTAAAGCCCTAAGGGCCCTAAGGGTCCGAGAGCCCTGGCTTGTCTAGGTGTGGCGAATCTGTCGCTCAACGTGACCGTGGTCGCTGCGCCGAGTGTGGAGGCCAAGACGACCACCACCACCACGACCCTGTGCCTTGGCAGCTGGGGGCTTTTGTTTAGGATTCAGGGTTTAGGGTTTGTGGTTTAGGGTTTAGGGTTTGGGGTTTAGGGTTTAGGGTTAGGGTTTAGGGCTTTGGAGGGTTTTGACGGCTTTTGGGGCTTTCAGGGCTTTTAGGGCGTTTAGTCTTAGGGAACTAGGGACCCGGGCCTTGGCAGGTGCGGGCTTTTGAGGGTTTAGGGGTTTTGAGGGTTTCGGGCTTAGGGCGTATAGGGTTTAGGGTTTTGAGGGTTTAGGGTTTTGAGGGTTTAGGGCTTAGGGCGTATAGGGTTTCGAGTTCAGGGTGCGGTTAAAGTTTTAGGGTTTAGGGTTCTTAGGGGCTTTCGGGTTTTTAGGGTTTTGGAGCACTTAACGCTCTCTCGCTCTCCTTTTCTCGCTCGATCTGATTCGTTGCCTTCATGGGTGTGGCGTTCGCAGACTCGAAGCCATACCCTGGAAACCACCAGCCCTATGAACTCTACGCTCTAAACATTGCCCAAAACCCTGAACCCTAAACCCTAAGCCCTGAGCCCTAAACCCTAAACCCTAAACTCTAAACCCTAAACCCTGAACCGTGAACCCTAAACCCTAAACCCTAAACCCTAAACCCAACCCCCCCCCCCCCCTTCCGAGCTTAGGACCACAGGGCCGGTGTTTTGCACAGCGTATACTTTCGGCAGTCGGGGTTCGGGTTTGGGGTTTAGGGTTTAGGGTTTAGGTTCAGGGTTCAGGGTTTAGGGTTCAGGGTGCATGGCTTAGGGTTTGGGGTTTTTGGGGTTTAATGGGTTTTGGGGTTTTGGGTTTTTGGGGGGCTACGGGGATTTCCTGCAAGAATGTCGCTTTCCTGTGTACAGCCCACATGCACTTTCTCAAGCGCGGCCCGAAGACCTCCAAGCCCGAACCCCCAAACCTCTAAGTAGCCTCAGGCCTCAAACCCTAAACTTTAAACCCTAAACCCTAAACCCTAAACACCCTCAACCCCAAACCCCGGAACTCAGCTGCCGAAGCCCCCCAGGTACTGCCCGGGTGATCCTCCCTGCGGTGGCGCCACCTATGGCACGTGCAACCGGGCGTCGCCAGGCGCCTCGGATGAGTACTGTCTCGGAAAGCAGGTTCCCCAAACCCCCCCCCCCCCAAAAAAAAAAAAACAGAGAAGAAAGATAAGCTAAGCCCTAAACCTGAAACCCGAAACCCGAAACCCCAAACCCGGTTTAGGGTTTAAGCCTTTCCGTTTCGAGCCCTAAACCCTAAAATGTGTACACGCAGCTCGTAGGGTTTAGGGTTTAGGGTTTAAGGTTTAGGGTTTAGGGTTTAGGGGTTTAGGGGTTTAGGGTTTAGGGGTTTTGGGGTTTAGGGGTTTAGGGGTTTAGGGGTTTAAGGGTTTAGGGGTTCAGGGGTTTAGGGGTTTAGGGGTTTAGGGGTTTAGGGGTTTAGGGGTTTAGGGGTTTAGGGGTTCAGGGGTTTAGGGGTTTAGGGGTTTAGGGGTTTAGGGGTTCAGGGGTTTAGGGGTTTAGGGGTCTAGGCTTGAGGTTTATCGTTCTTTCATACCCTGGTCCCTACAAACCCTGATCCCCCTAAACCTTGAGACCCTAAAACCCAAACAGTGGAAGTAACAAACAAGAAAACCCCTAAACCCTAAACCTTAAACTCTCAATCCTAAACCCGAAGCCCTAACCCCCAAACCCCAAAACCCACCTCCACCTCAAAACTCTCAAAACTCCGAACCGTAAGCCCTAAATCTGCAAAGCAGCCATGCGCTGAAGCCCTAAGGCCCTGCAGCCCCGAACGTCAAAAAACTTGTCATTTCAGGGTCTTGGGTTTTAGGGTTTAGGGTTTAGGGTTTTGGGAATGTCCATGGGCATTTGTCAGGCGGGGTGTGAGTAATTCAACGAAGGTTGAGCCAGTTAAGTTAATGTGCAGTTGCTCTGCTTCTGAGCCGCCGAGAAACCCTAAGACCCCAAGCTCCAAACTCAAAAGGCCCTAATAACCCTAAATCCTAAGCCCTAAACCCTAAACCCTAAACCCTAAACCCTAAACCCTAAGCCCCCAACCCACTGCTGCCCTTGGTGAGGTGATCCTTTGCGCAGGGCATGGATCTGTGAGTGCGAGGACCTCCGTGATGAGCCCTAAACCCTAAACCCTAAACCCTAAACCCTAAACCCTAAACCCTAAACCCTAAACCCTAAACCCTAAACCCTAAACCCTAAACCCTAAACCCCAAGCCCTAAACGGTTTTGGGTTGAAGCGCTGTGGTGTTACTGTGCGTGGTGTAGACGAACTTGCTGGCACTTGAGGGGTATATCCCCCGCAACACAGCAAGAAACTGGTGGGGGGGGGGGGGGGGGGACCCCTTTAAGCCCTAAACACCCCAACGCCCGAATCATCTAAGCCCTAGACCCCTGAACACCTAAGCCCTACACCCATACTAGGTAAGGCCCTGGGGTTTTGTTTTTATATTTTCCCATATTAAGTTTCAGAGGATCCTAAACCCTAAACCCTAAACCCTAAACCCTAAACCCTAAACCCTAAACCCTAAACCCTAAACCCTAAGCCCTAAATAAACCCTAAACCCTAAACCCTAAACCCTAAACCCTGGCTTTAAGGGCCATCCGAAGCCTAAGCCCTTGAGGAGACCTTCAATGGCAGCGCCTGCGACGAGCGCATCTGTCCCGTGTGCCAGAACAACGGAACCTGCGTCGGCGAAGGTCAGATGCTTGCCGATTTAGGGTTTAGGGTTTAGGGTTTAGAGTTTAGGGTTTAGGGTTTAGGGGTTTAGGGTCGAAATCGAGAACGCTTTTGGAGCTTTCGGTTGTGGGGTTGAGAGCTTAGGGCTTGTTGGTTTTGTGTTCAGCCCTTCTTCTGAGATGTTCTCTGCTTATTCTTGCCTTTCGAGAGGGCACTGTAGCAACAACAAAGTTCAGGCGTTTAGGGTTTTCAGCGGTTGAGGATTTTCAGGGCTTGAGGGTGTTTTGGCTGTTGCTGTACAACTAGTACCAACATCAGGACTTGAATCGGTACACCGAAGCCGTCGACCCTAAATCTATGTTGTACCTCTTTTCCTTGGAAGGTGCTGCGTACTAAGAGGGTGTTCTAGGCTAAGACGCAGAGTAGGCCCTTATTCCCTGTTTTTTTAGGGTTTAGGTTGCCTTGTAATCCCTGTTTAAACCAAAAGAACGTACACCCTTTCTTTATTCCTAGGTTACGCTCGGGTCTAGTGTTAGCGTCAAGGCACGATGGGGGCTCGCAGATATGTACTTATTCGTCTGGCCCATCCCAAGAGGGCTGCTTTGTCTTCCCTACTTGACAAGTTGGAAGGGGGTGCTGGATTTAGGGTTTAGGGTTTATGGTTTAGGGTTCAGGGCTTAGGGGTTACATAGGGGTTAGGGTTTAGGGTTTAGGGTTCAGGGTCTGTGGGCTTGTGGGTTGTAAGAGGGCTTGAGGCCTGAGGGTGACACCTTGAACAGCCCGGACCCTGATCCCTCACCACACCCTAAACCCTAAACCCCCTCGCCACACCCTAAACCCTAAACCCTAAACCCTAAACCCTAAACCCTAAACCCTAAACCCTAAACCCTAAACCCTAAACCCTAAACCCTAAACCCTAAACCTCCTCACCAGACCCTAAACCCGAAACCCTAAAACCCGCCAAGGAACCTCACGGCCGAATGGACTTGCGAGTGCCCCTCCACCCACCAGGGCGATCGATGCCAGTTTCTGCGCTGCCCAAGCGACTGCAGCAACGCAGGCCTTAGGGTTTAGGGTTTAGGGTTTCGGGTTTAGGGTTTAGGGTTTAGGGGTTAGGGGTTAGGTTTTAGGGTTTAGGGTTTAGGGTTTAGGGCTTAGGCTTGAGGTTTAGGGTGAGAGCGCTGTGAGACCCGAAGCCTAGGTTTAGACCCTCAAACCTGCCCGAAGGTACCCTCAGAGCCCTAACTCTAAACCCTAAACCCTCAACCTGCAACCCGCAACCCGCAACCCTCAACCCTCAACCCTCAACCCTCAACCCTCAACCCTCAACCCTCAACCCTAAACCCTAAACCCTAAACCCTAAACCCTAAACCCTAAACCCTAAACCTGGACTGTCATGGGCTCTAAGGTTCCGAATTCCCCTTTACTCCTTCTAGACATACCCGAAACTTCCCCTAAGCCCTAAACGACTCCAACCTACCCTAACTCCAACTGCCCTAAAACCTAAGGCTAGTTTCATGGGCCCTGAATCTAGTCCCTGACCTCCTTCAAAAGGGTTCTGGAGTCTGGGTAGTTGGGTTTTACAGGGTAAATTAAGGGGGTTCCCATATAAGGGCCCGCGCTTAACTACCCAGAGTTCAACCCCTGGACCTTCAACGCCCAGCTCTGACCTTCTAGTAGCAGGATGAGTACACTTTGCACTTGTTGGGGTACTATATTCCCCTATAGAATTGAGAGTGTGCACTTTTCCGGGGCTCATGAAAGCAGGTAAGAGCCCCAAAGCCCTGGGGCTGGGGGGGAAGTTTGGGGTTCGGGGTGTAGCAGGTTCAGGGTTTAGGGTTTAGGGTTTAGGGTTTAGAGCTTAGGGCTTAGGGCTACGAGTTTAGGGTTTAGGGGTTTAGGGGTTTTGGGTTTTGAGGTTTTAGGCTTAGGGTTTCGGGTTCAGGGCGCGTTGCCTTGATGGGCTTCAGGCTGTTGCATGCAGAGTCGGCGCTGGCAGGCGACTGCGACAAGTTCACGGGCATTTGCGCCTGCTTCGACGGCTACGATTCCTGGCTTTCACAGCTCCTGTTCGTTGGGGACTGTGGTCTTTTTGGATGCAGGCAGTAGCCGTGAGTTTCTAGGTCCAGGTGCGGCATCTGAACCAAGGCTGAGGCACGTAGGCCTGCGGTGACGAGGCACTTGCTTCACCAGGAGTTTTGGTGCGCGTTCTTTCGGCGTGCACAAGCTTTTACAAAGCCCTTGCCCCCTCCAAGACAAGGGTAGACTGGATACCCTGAACCTAAACCCCTCAACGAGAAACCCTAAACCCTAAACCCTAAGCCCTAAACCCTAAACCCTAAACCCTAAACTCGAAACCCTAAACCCTAAACCCTAAACCCTAAACCCTAAACCCTAGATGGCCGACCCAAGGATGGGGCGGATTGCAGCCTTGCGCCCGGCCAGCAACCTGCCTTGCAAGACGGGTTTCAGGGTCTTAGGGTTTTAGGGTTTAGGGTTTAGGGTTCAGGGTTTTGGGTTTTGGGTTTTGGTAGGGTTCAGGGTTAGAGCCCAGGGGTTAGTGGTTTAGGGTTAGGGTCTAGCCCCTTATACTAAACCCCACCCTAATTTTACATATCATTTTTGCCGGACCCTCCCGGTACCCAGCCGAATATTTTTGAGAATTAAGGGGGGGTTGAGGGCCTCCGCCCTTGAGTTGAGCCATTACGGCTCAAGGCTCAGAGGATTTTCAGGGTTTAGGGCTCAAGGCTCAGAGGGTTTAATTAGGGTTTAGGGTGTTGGGCTAAACCCCAACTGAACCCTAAACCCGATTGGTCGCAGTCACTACCACACCTCTCTCGTTTTCGACTTTGGGGTTTAGGCTTCGGATTTCAGGTTTTAAGGTTTAGGGTCCACCCCAATTGCCAACTTCAAATATTTGGGTTATGGGTGTTGCTTGACTTACTAGGGTTTGTAGGGAATGACTGGAAGCCTTTGCCCCCTAAACCCTAAACCCTAAACCCTAAACCCTAAACCCTGAACCCTAAACCCTAAACCCTAAACCCTAAACCCTAAACCCTAAACCCTAAACCCTAAACCCTAAACCCTAAACCCTAAACCCTAAACCCTAAACCGCCCCTGAGGCAAAACCCTAAGATCCTGAGACCCTCAACCTCCGCGATCCTGAGTCCGAATCCCCTAGAGGCACCCCTCAGCCCGAACCCCAACACCCGAGGGTTACAGGGGCGACGTTGTGCAGCTACATGGTGTATAGGGGCTCATCCTAAACCCTAAACCTTAAACCCTAAACCCTAAACCCCAAACCCCAAACCCCAAGCCCCAAACCCCAAACCCCAAGCCCCAAACCCCAAGCCCCAAGCCCCAAACCCTAAACCCCAAGCCCTAAACCCCAAGCCCCAAGCCCTAAACCCTAAACCCCAAGCCCCAAACCCCAAGCCCCAAGCCCTAAACCCTAAACCCCAAACCCCAAGCCCCAAACCCCAAGCCCCAAGCCCTAAACCCTAAACCCTAAACCCTAAACCCTAAACCCTTAACCCTAAACCCCAAGCCCTAAACCCCAAACCCCAAAGGCTGGTGCCCATCACCAATGCCATCGAGCTCTCCCTCACCTGGGGCCTTCAGGGCTACGAGGTGTGGCCTGAAACCAACCCCTAAGCTCCGGAGGTCGCACTAAACCCTAAACCCTAAACCCTAAACCCTAAACCCTAAACCCTAAACCCTAAACCCTGAACCCTAAACCCTAAACCCTAAACCCTAAACCCTAAACCCTAAACCCTAAACCCTAAACCCTAAACCCTAAACCCTGAACCCTGAACCCTGAACCCTGAACCCTAAACCCTGAAACCTGAACCCTGAACCCTCAGCGCCCCTAGGGCTCAGGGCCTAGGGTTTTTACTCCTATGCAAGCCTGCTATGACCTCGACAGTAGTGCAGGGGACCAACGTAAAGTTCTAAGTTCCAGGTCCTCCCGTGGTTTCATAAACCCTAAACCCTGAACCCTAAACCCTAAACCCTAAACCCCAAACCCCAAACCCTAAACCCTATACTAAACCCTAAACCCCAAACCCCAAACCCCAATCAACTGCTCCAGATGCGACAGAACATTCTTGATGCTAATCATTATATTGATCTTGGTATCTCCAAAGTTCCGCACGTTGCTTGTCCTGAGTGGAAGCGCCAGGGCATAGCGTGCCACTTTTGCCATGCTCGGTTTAATTTCCTGACTAAATCCGAAAAATTCCTTCAAAAATGCCATAAACCCTCAAAGCTGTCTCAGCGAGAGACAAACGCTTGGTTGGGAGTCCTACAAGAACAGCGTGCAAAATTGAGTGACATCATCACCAAACTGGAAGCATGATATGCCACACATGCTGATTAAAGCATCAGCCGTCTCACTTATAGATCGCATTGACTCCAAGTCCGTGTCAACCCCAAACCCCAACCCCAAATCCCAAACCCCAAACCCCAAACCCCAAACCCCAAACCCCAAACCCTAAACCCTAAACCCTTCCCCCTACACCTACCCCACAGGAGGACAACAACTCGGCCCCAGAGTACGACATGGGCTTCGACCTCTACGACCCAGAGGTGCAGGCACGTCTGCTGCGGGCTTTTTTTGGGTTGTTGAGGGTTCTGTAGGTTTTTTTTTTTCACCCCTCTATTTGCTGGTTTCGGGCGATTTTTGGGGAGTTTAGGGTTCTTATGGCTTTGTGTGGGCTTCAGGGTTTTAAGGGTTTTGGGGGGCTTTCAGAATTTTAGGGTTTGGGGGGAGCTAGGGTTTAGGGTTTTTCGGGTCTAGGGTTTTCGACTCGGGGGTTTTAGGGTTTGGGGGTTGTGGGGGTTTTGGGTTGGGGCTTAAGTTGTAGGGTTCTTAAGGGAACCCCAAGCTTCAAGCTTCCAGAAGGTGGGGGGCGGGTTTAGGGTTTAGGGTTTAGGGTTTAGGGTATTTAGGGTTTAGGGTTTAAGGTTTAGGGTTTAGGGTTTAGGGTTTAGGGTTTAGGGTTTAGGGTTTAGGGTTTAGGGTTTAGGGTTTAGGGTTCCGGAAGGTTCCCTAGGTGCCTACCTTCAAGAAACCCCTTGAATTAAGGGCCAAGAGGAAGGTCAGAGAGGCCCCTGTTGTCATGGGTTGCCCCTTCTACCCCCCCTCTATGTGAAGGGAACCTAGAAGGGGGGGGGGGGGAGGGCAGGTTTAGGGTTTAGGGTTGGGGGTTTAGGGTTTAGGGTTTAGAGGGTTTAGGGGGTTTAGAGGGTTTAGAGGGTTTAGAGGGTTTAGAGGGTTTAGGGTTTAGAGGGTTTAGAGGGTTTAGAGGGTTTAGAGGGTTTAGAGGGTTTAGAGGGTTTAGGGGGTTTTGGGTTTAGAGGGTTTAGAGGGTTTAGGGTTTAGGGTTTAGGGTTAGGGTTTAGGGTTTAGGGTTTAGGGTTTAGGGTTTAGGGTTTAGGGTTTAGGGTTTAGGATTTAGGGTGCAGGGGAACCCATGCGGTTTGGTGAGCTTTGGTTGAGGAGGTGGAAGGCAGACGTTGGGTCGCAGGGCTTGCAGACCTATAAGCTCCCCTGGAGCCCTAACCTTCACAAGTTTTGGGGTTTAGGGTTTAGGGTTTAGGGTTTAGGGTTTAGGGTTTAGGGTTTAGGGTTTAGGGTTTAGGGTTTAGGGTAGGGGTCCGTTCTGTTGTTTAAAGAAATTTCCTCACTGACGGGCTATTGGGCTCTTAACCCTCTTGGTCTGGTGCCAAGCCCTTGGCTGTCCTCAGGGGCTTATTTTTGTCGAGGCGGCCAGGGCTCAGGGTTTGGGGTTTAGGGTTTGGAGCCACGTTAAGGATTCACCGGGCCTTTGTCAACTTCATACAGAGTGCATGGAGCTTGGTTGCATTTCTTCCAGCGTTCCTTTTCCCAACGCCTTCGCTGGAAGGGTTCTGGAGCACAGTCTGCGAGAGATTGAGTTCGTGTTCGCAAAGCACACTCCGCTGATTTTCAAGATTGGATATACGCACAACCCCGTGTGGCGTTGGTGCAACACCCCTATGGCTACACGCACGAAATGGACAAGTGGAGCCACATGTCCTCTACATGTCCACAGAGGTTTGGGGTTTGGGGTTTGTGTTTCAGGATACAGTTGACTTGTAGGATCAGATGACTTAGTAAGCAGTTTTAAGTGGAGATGCTGAGTAGGATAACCTCAATTGGGACCCCCTTTAACCTCGCAGCACTTATAACTCCTACTTTGTTACCTGTTGTTTACTGAGTTCCCCCCATCATCTGACTAGGGTGATATTTAGGGTGATATGGAGTACCTGGTCTGTCTGTAGTAGAGAACCCAGTCTTACCCAAACCCCTGCACCGAAGCTCTCCACTACAACCCTAAGACCAAAATCCCAAGCCTAAACCTTAAACTGTAAACCCCAGACACTAAACCCCAAACCCTAAACCCCAAACCCCGAGTCCTAAACCCTAAACCCAAAACCCAAACCCCTAAACTCTAAAAACCTCCAAGCCCCGAAGGAGTGGATCCTAGACACTTGCAGAGCTGCGCGCACTTCCGTGAACCTCCTGGCCTGGGCCCAACAGAGGTTTAGGGTTTAGGGTTTAGGGTTCAGGATTTGGGTTTAGGGTTTAGGTTTTAGGGTTGAGTGTTTGGGGTTTAGGGTTTGGGGTTTAGGGTTTAGGCGAATGGGGTTTAGGGACTAAAGGGATTGCTGTTGGGCTGGTTTCGGGTTCCTGGGACCAGGAACTGCAAACCGACAAGAAAGGTCACCATAACAATGTTTTGGTTTTGCAAGTTATCTGGGTCAGGTAGCTGGGTCTACGTAGGGTAATAGGTGTAGGATACGAGGGTAGGGGCCTTGTCTGGGTCTAGGATGGTTGCTGGGGTGGTTCCAGCGTGCTCCTTGTCGTACCGACGTGGAATTCCTTCCATTGTGCCGGGCATGCTAGGATTTAGGGTTTAGGGTTTAGGGTTTAGGTATTTAGGATTTAGGGTCGTTCTCCAGCCACCAGCGCCACGAATTAGGGCGTTAGCCGGTGCATTCGTGTAGGACCCGCCACGGATCTCCCTCATCTTGTAGAAGAGGGAAAGTTTGCGAAGATCTTGGCTGAAGCAAAGAAGTGGGAGGATGGCCAGAGTTCGCTCCTCTCTCTTGCATTTTGTTGCTTTGCCTGTGACTTGCGAGGGCCGCCAAGACCGGACGTGACCATCAGAGGGTTTATGGGGTCTATAGGGTCTTAGGGTTTCATAGGGTTTATAGGGTTTATAGGGTTTAAAGGGTTTATGGGTTCACAGGGCAAGGGCACGTGCTGAAAGAGCATGACAGCATTTGGGGCGGCGATATGCAGTGGGCGCCGGTGATGCATGTCGCCAGAGACTACTAACTGTAGTTACGACTGATCCCACTCATAAAGGGGGTTTGCGGGTGGACCCCCCGTATAGTCCACCAAATAGTAATGATTCCCTTTCCATGGGACCCCAACAGGTACCCCTAGTTTCGGACATCCCCACAAGTACCCTAAGTACTACGCCTTTGTGCTTTTTCGAGCGAGGTTCCCTTCTGAACCCCGTCATAGAAGGGGTTTAGGGTTTAGGGTTCAGGGTGTAGGGTTCAGGGTTTAGGGTTTAGGGGTTTCGGGTTCACGGAAGTTTGGCTGTCCTCCCATAGACCTCCAGCCGCTCCGGACACCGTTTCCCATACCTAATCGATGTGGGCCCTTGCGCTACTTTGCATTTTGAAGCCTTGCTTACTGTTGGCTAGTAAGGAATGGGGGAATGAGGTACCCTATGTAATCCCTTTAAGGGTATATATAGGGCCCCAATTCCCTCATTCCCTGCAAACCAACAGTAAGCTCCAGCTTGGGATGTTCCCCTTATGCTATCAGCGCTTTAGTAGGGATCATAATCGGGGGGTACTAGAATCCCTCCTAGGGGGCTGTTAAGATAAGGGGGACATCCCAACCTTAGGCCCGAGACGGCATTCTAAGTGTCCCTGTTTCCAGAGGTCCTGTTGCGGCAGCTAGCCCTGAGCAACAACTACACACCAACAAACCCTGGGCCCTAAATCCTAAACCCTATATAAACTCGCAACCCTAAACCCTAATCCCTACCACTACCCTAAGCCCTAAACCCTAAACTCCTAAACTCCTAAACTCCTAAACTCCTAAACTCCTAAACTCCTAACCTCCTAACCTCCTAAACTCCTAAACTCCTAAACTCCTAAACTCCTAAACTCCTAAACTCCTAAACTCCTAAACTCCTAAACTCCTAAACTCCTAAACTCCTAAACTCCTAAACCCTAAACCCTAAACCCAGTGATCTGCATTGCTGGGAAGATCGCCGTGCCGAGGTGCGAGAGGAGATGATTTGCTGGATCGAAGGCAGCTCAGGGGAAGAGTTCAGGGTTTAGGGTATAGGGTTCAGGGGCTTTTTAGGGCTTTAGGGTCTGTAGTAGAGTTTGGATTTCAGTGGTGTAGGGCTGCGTCGGGAGTCCCAAGCGCGTACCCAAGCCCTCACGTCCCATGACACCCTCAGTGGGTTTAGGGTTTAGGGTTTAGGGTTCAGGGTTTAGGGTTTAGTTTTTAGGGTCTAGGGTTTAGGGTTTAGGGTTTGCTTGGAGGTTCATGGTACTTGTTTACCAATTATAACTGTACCTGTAACCCACTTGTAAGCCCCTTAAGTGCCCGAGTATGGTCGTAAGGACAGTTCTAAGTACATTCATCATGGATTAAGAAGTACCATGAACCTGCGCAAGTACACTACATCGTTGAGGGTATCTTTCTAAATTAATGGGTCGGGAACTCTCGGGGTAGAATATGCATCCGCTCCCCGAATATATATGTGGAAGATCCTCTAGGCCCTAAATTTTCAAAGTGGTGGAGAACATCATGCAGCTCTTGAAGAAGCATCGCTTGGTCCCGACGATCCAGCTTGAGCCCATGCTTGTGGCTCCCTGCAACATTGATGGGTACGGCATAGACTCACGGGATGGAGGTCCATGGGTACTTATAACCACAGCTGTAAGTCTACTTATAACCTACTTAGGGACTTAGGTGGCTTATTAGTAGAGGAATACTTCGGGGAATAGGTACCATGAACCTCCAAGTAGAATCCATCGCCGACGTCGGATTCGCCCCCAGCAAGGCACATGCCGTAGGTGTGGAGGTGGAGTCTGAAACAGTCAGGCTCTGCAATGCCAGTCAGCTCCAGTGCGCGAACGGCCTCTGGGGCTCAGTAGGTGCTTGGAGCAGCAAAATCACCAGCCTATGCGGCTCTCACACACAAAATGCGGCGCTTCCTTGCCTGCACAACAACGAGCTCCTCTCCTCGGGCGGCAGGCTCTCCCTTGAGAGCCCCAAACCCTGAAACCCACGCCCTCAAATCCTCAGCCCCAAAACATTGACCCCGCAGAAACCCATCTTCACTACTAAACGATAGGTGAAATAGAACCCCCCCTCTCCCCCCGGCAGAAAAAACACAAAGCAAGGTTAAGCCTCCTCTGAACACTGAACCCTGAACCCTAAACCCTAAACCCTCCCCCTTCGCCTCAGTGACCAGGCTTTGAGACATGGATCAAGGCAGTCGGCGGGCCCTTCCCGGCAGCTTGTCAGGGTTTAGGGTTTAGGGTTTGGGGTTTGGGGTTTAGGGTTTAGGGTCTAAGTCTTTCGCGGTTAGGGAAGCCCTAAGCCCTAAACTCTAACCCTCAGGCCCTAGGTATAGGGTTTAGGGTTTACGGTTTAATTAGGGTTTAGGTTTTAGGTTTTAGGGTTTAGGGTTTATTTAGGGTTTAGATATGGGATTTAAGACCCAAAAAAACCCAACCCTAAACCCGAAAACCCCAAGAGGGTGCTGCTTGGGTCACAAGCCTTCAGTTTAAGGTTTTAGGGTGTTAGAACCGCGGGGCTGTAGTGCTTAGGGTCTTGAAGGTTTTAGGGCTTTAGGTTTTAGGACTTTAGGGTTTAGGGTTGGGGTTTAGGGTTTAGGGTTTAGGGTTTAGGGTTTGGGGAGGTGAGGATTCAGGCTTTCAGTTTCGGGGCTCAAGGCTTTCGAGCTTCCAGCGTTTCAGTTCGAAGCCCTGTAGGTTTCGTGGCTTTATATAGGGGTTAGGGCTTCGACTTGAGGGTTTAGGGCTTGTGGTATAGATTCGAGGGTTTAGGGCTTAGGGTTTAGATTCGAGAGTTTAGAGTTTAGGGTTTAGATTTGAGGGTTTAGGGTTTAGGGTTTAAGTTTAGGGTTTAGATATGAGGGTTTAGGGTTTAGGGTTTCAATTTGAGGGTTTAGGGTTCAGGGTTTAGATATGTGGCTTCAGGGTTTAGGGTTTAGATTTGAGGGTTTAGGGTTTAGGGTTTGGATTTGAGGATTTAGGGTTTAGGGTTTGGATTCGAGGGTTTAGGGTTTACGGTTTAGGCAGGAAGCCCCTGACCCAAGTCGTTGTCTACTGCCTCGGAAGCCCGAACAAGCAATGGCTCAACCCCACAACCACTCAGCCCCAAACCCTAACCTGCAACTGTCGCGATTCGCAACCCTAACCCAGAAAGCACGAAGCAGAGGAGACAATGCACAAGAAACGGGTCATGTTCTTTGAAAAAAAGAAAAAGAGGTTTGTCATCGCAGAGAAGATACCGCATGAATAGGGCATAGGGCCAAGCAAAGGTGCCCTAAGTATCCTGTATACCGCGAAAGTGCTTTAATTATCCTGTATACCGCGAAATGAGAGGCAACGCCACCGCACTGGTTGACCAGCTTCCTCAGCCTTAAAACACCCTAAGCCACAAGCCCAAACCCTAAACTCTATACCCTATACTCTGAAGCCTAAACTCTAAACCCTGACCCCTAAACCGCACGAGCTCTACCTGTCACTGCAGCACATGGAAGCTCCTTCGACTTCGTAAGTTAGTATCCCCCAGAAACCCTCTTCTCATGCCCCACAACCCACCTTACCCTCGACCCTACCCCCTCAACCCTAGACCCTAAACCAAAAGCGCTTCCAAGCGGATTCCTTTTTTTACTTGCAACCCTCCACCCAAAAATCTCCACTCCCAAGCTCCACCACCTCCCCTTGCCCTAAAACCTCAACATCCTACTGCTATGTGGTTTAGGGTTTAGAGTTTGGGGTTGATGGTTTCGGGTTTAGGCTTAAAGGATGTAATCCCCATATTGCCCTTATAAGGAAGAATGTCTTGGGGGGATTCTTTTAAGCAAACAGGGGTTTACGAAAACAAGGGATCCTTACTGTAGACCCCCAAAGAGTAGGACTCCCTTCTCAGAAGGTAATTTCGGAAACCCCCCAATAGGAGCCTACACCCTGAGGTCAACAATTCGGAGCTTGCTTCCGAAGCTCTTCAGGCCCTTTGCTTGATGTTGTCTGGTTAGGGTTTAGGGTGCTGTTGTTTGTGATCGTGGTGGCGGCGGGGTTTAGGGTTTAGGGTTTAGGGTTTAGGGTTTAGGGTTCAGGTTTTAGGGTTCAGGGTGTAGGGGTTTCTTCTGGCTAGGGGAGCTGGATGTAGGGTTGAGGTTTACGTGGCCCACCGCGTTCTTTGGCGCGGTTTTTACGGCTTCAGGTCACCAGGAACTCTTGAGCTGAGCCCTAAACCCCAAACCCTAAACCCTAAACCCTAAACCCTAAACCCTAAACCCTAAACCCTAAATCCTAAACCCTAAACCCTAAACCCTAAACCCGAAACCCGAAACCCTAAACCCTAAACCCTAAACCCTAAACCCTAAACCCTAAACCCCAACCCCCCCACTCCCCACTTCATGGTTTAGGGTTTGCAGACTAAGGGCCCATGTCTCGGGGCTACGTCCCCCCAAAACCTCAAACACCTGAAACTCTGAAACCCTGAAACCCCGCAAACCCTCAAACCCTGTGTTTCCGCAAGAGGAAGGGAGATTATAGACCCTTAACCCCAAAAACCAAACCCCAAGCCCCAAGCCCCAAGCCCCAAACCCCAAACCCCAAACCCTAAACCCTAAACCACAAACCCTAGATTGAAGCCCTGCAACCTGAATGATACCAATCTGCGGCCTCACGCCCTCAAACCCTCAAGCCCCTCTGGAACCCCAAATCAGGGTTTAGTGTTTAGGGTCTAGGGTCTAGGGCTTAGGGGGTCTAGGGTTTAGGGTTTAGGGTTTTAGGGAAACTCTGTATGCTTAACCCTAGGAACCACGCATCCCTGACTCTCCCCAACCCCAGGTGTTCATGCACCAGCGCTTGGCGAGCACCTTTTTAGGGCCCGCCGGGGTAGGGGGGCAGGAGTAAGGGGAGGGTTTAGGGTTTAGGGTATAGGGTTTCTAGGGTTTATAGGGTTTATAGGGTTTATAGGGTTTATAGGGTTTGTAGGGTTTGTAGGGTTTATAGGATTTATAGGGTTTATAGGGTTTATAGGGTTTGTAGGGTTTATAGGGTTTATAGGGTTTATAGGGCTCAGGGGTGGGGGTAGGGAGGGTAGGGGGGGTAGGGGGGTAGGGGGGTAGGGGGGTAGGGGGGTAGGGGGGTAGGGGGGGTAGGGGGAAGGAGTTGGGGTCGGGGTAGGGGTAGGGGGAGCTCCGGGGGGATCGAAATCTTCAGGGTCACAGCGTTCCGGAAATTATGTTTTTTCGGGTTTGGGGTTTAGGGTTTAGGGTTTAGGGTTTAGGGTTTGGGGTTTAGGGTTTAGGGTTTGGGGTTTAGGGTTTAGGGTTTGGGGTTTAGGGTTTAGGGTTTAGGGTTGTCGGCTTCGTGGTGTAGGAGTCTAGGGAGTCCGGAGCCGAGACACTAGGGTTAGGGTTTACGGTTTAGGGTTTAGGGTTTAGGGTTTAGGGTTTAGGGTTTAGGGTTTAGGGTTTAGGGTTTAGGGTTTAGGGTTTAGGGTTGAGGGTTTAGGGTTTAGGGTTCAGGGTTTAGGGTTCAGGGTTCAGGGTTTAGGGTGGTTTAGGGCTTAGGGTGGTTTAGGGTTTAGGGCGGTTTAGGGTTTAGGGCGGTTTAGGGTTTAGGGTTTAGTCTTTAGGGTTTAGGGTTTAGGGTTTAGGGTTTAGGGTTTAGGGTCTTCACTTGGGAACCCGATTATATAACCTATACCACTTCATAGATTCAGGGCCCATACTTCGGATGTCCTATCCCTTGTAGAATTCCTCAAAGGGTTTGTAGCCTATCTCCCTCATTCCCAGCTAAGAGCCAACCCTAAAACCTAAACCTAAACCCTAAACCCTCAACCCTAAACCCTAAACCCTAAACCCTAAACCCTAAACCCTAAACCCTAAACCCTAAACCCTAAACCCTAAACCCTATGCTTTGAGAATTAATACTAGTGGGAAGGGACTCCTGGCCTTAAGAGCTCGGAGCGTTTGTTTGGGATTTAGGATCTGGTGTTTAGGGTTTTGGGTTTAGACATTAGGGTTGAGGGTTGACGGTGTCTATGCGGACGGCAAGCCTTCAGCACTCTTTTGAAGCTCCTAAGCCCTGAACCCTAAACCCTAAACCCTAAGCCACAATCCTGTTCTTATGCTTCAGGACCTTCAGGAGTTGAGGGCTTTTTAAGGGTTTTGGTCGGGTTTCGGGTTGCCCTAAACCCTAAACCCTAAACCCTAAACCCTAAACCCTAAACCCTAAACCCTAAACCCTAAACCCTAAACCCTAAACCCTAAACCCTAAACCCTAAACCCTAAGCCCTAAACCCTGAACCCTACACCCTAAACCCTAAGCCTTGAACCCTGAACCCTAAACCCTAAACCCCAACCCGAGTCAGGGGTTCAGTAGCTGCGCGGGTGCCAGGGATGTCGCCACGGATGGGACGGACTATGCCGGGCGGCCTTACTTCACCCGCGTCAGGCGGGATGCCCTTCAAACGCTAAACCCGAAACCCTAAACCCCCTAAGCTCTAAACTCTAAACCCTAAACCCTAAACCCTAAACCCCCAAACCCCTAAACCCCTAAACCCCCAAACCTCTAAACCCCTAAACCCCTAAACCCGAAACCGAAGCACACTAGACTGTAGGTTTCTACCGAAAATGTTAACCTTTTTTCGTTCGTGAACTATGGTAAACTCCAGTCACCTTGGGTTCAGGGTTTAGGGTTGGAGGCTTAGGCTTCAGGCGTTTAGGCGTTTAGGGGTTTAGGGTTTAGGGTTTAGGGTTTCGGGTTTAGGGTTTAGGGTTTAGGGGTATTTCCGTGAAGAGGCTGAAGATCAACGTCGCGGCCAATGCCAACTCGGACTACCGGCGCCTTGGGCAACCAGCTGGGGCATGGGCCCTAGGGTTGTA